GCACTGAGCGTTTGTATATATGTGTGTGTGAGATCATTCAGCGCATGATGATCCGACTGCGTCCTGTTCACCGCGTGTAGATTGATCCACGGAAAGGATAGATGCCGGATTGGTAATCTGTCGAACAGATGCATCCATTTTATTATCTGTTTGGATTTTAGCGTCTGTCATGTCGAACTCTTCGAGGACAGATTGAGTGAGTCCATCCGGTAGTCCGGACTCGTCACAGACCACACCGACACAGAGTTCACCAGTGGCGACGGAATCCCGAGCAAGACTGAATGGTTCAGCTTGCATGCGGAAAGCGAATTCCTCGTCTGGTCGTGAATCGAAATCCAACACAGAACGACTCTTCACAATTTGACTGAGTGTGTCTGTTGCCGTTGGAATTTGTTGTTGTTGCTGCTGCTGCAGCAGTAGAATCGGGGACGTATCTAGGTGACCGGTGATCAATGACGAGGCCAACAATTGCTTTGTTCTGGTAGAAACACTCAGATTCAGGGGAGAGATTAAACTGGACTGGTCTGTGGTGGAGTTCCCATTCGTGATTCGGCCGGCGCCAAAACCGGTAGAAGCTCGTGTGGCAAACTGTTTGTAGTAATTATTGTAAAATGGATGTACTCGATTCCTAGTAGGACTCATTGTGAATCGGGAGAGTTCATTTAATTGATAGTCACAATCCACCTCCTCCTCCTCATCGCTCAGTTCCGTACTGAACGCATATTGAGAGTCTAATGGTGCGACCGGAGACATGGGCGTTTTGCCTGATCTTACTGGGGCTGGACTGTACAGCTGATTGGGACTAGAAAATCCACCTGCGTTGGAAGCCACACAATGATATAGATTTGAAACCACTGATAAAGGTAACGATTTCGTGATCGACATGACTGGTGGTTTGCTCTCAGCTACAGACATACTACTGTCGTTCGAATGCGTCACAGAACATACGCAAGAGCACATTCACACGCACAATGTGTGTGTGGTAAAGTAAGGGTGATCACCTCAAGGATGGTTGGATTTCCGAGGAACGCCTCGCACAGATTTACAACAGGTTGCGCACTATCTATCCACCGTAATACGCATTCAACCGCATAAAAATTAGCCAAACCAACGACTCCAGCAACCAATCAGAATCGCCCGCTAAAACGAACCAATCGTTGCATACGACATGAGACGCAATGATTTTGTTCACCAATCACGTACCGGATAGTAGTTAACTGACCAATGGGATAAAGGTGAAATCGAGGGCTAGCTACTTACCAGTAGGTTGATGAAAGTGTGATGTAAATGGCACGCTGGACATACGTGTCAGTGAAATACAAGGAAATGCTCAGAAATCTCGAAAGATGATTTCGAGTGGAGTGAAATAAACTACAACAAAAAATAACCCTAATCTGGTTCGGTGTCATGAATTCGAACATGCATCAAATAACGAAAAATCTATTTTGAAAGCAAATGTTTGCCAAAAAAGTTCTACAAGTTGGAATAGCCCACGTTCCCCAATTAATGCTTGAAACTAAAAATTAATCTCTCCTTAAATGGAAACGGAATAAGTTTTGTCATGTTTGGATATCAGGGAGGAAGCTTAATATAGTTTAAGGCCACCTGGGAGAAGGAGGGGGTGTAACAATCAATGTACGGAAGTTAGGCAGCAGTGGTGGGGTTGTAACCCACGTCTTTTGAGCAGATGGAAACCTAAAAAGCCTAACTATCGTTGCTTTTGTATACCATCATATACCTAAGATAGGATAAACGCGGGTTGAAATACCATAGGAACCGGTAAAGGCAATCATGTTATCCACTGGGGTTCAGACTGGACACGTGATCAACACTCATTCGGTATTCACGATCATCCACGCACACCCGTTGGAAATTAGGATAAAGCTATTGTAGTAATCTTGAAACCATAACGGGGCATTTGAACAGACCGCGTTTACTTTGCTTTTATCTCACTGCTATTCCAGTTACAGGGGTCTACGGACCTGGAATATATCAACGAACACCAGGACGTAATTACCATCCCCGAGAATACCAAACCAGACGGGTTTTTAACTAACTATCACCCCCCCTTCTCAGGTCGTTTCTGTACACTTAGTACGAATCGCTTGTTACGTGGAGCACAATACACATGTCTCCCGGTGCCTGTCTTTCTCGCTGCGATCTCGTGTTTGGCTGGCCACGTGTGCTGAGCTGATCGATATTGACTCCCTGTGTTCCGTTTGCAACGAGCTTCCGAGATTACCGCTGATC